ATAAGTGCTTGGTGAATTAGAAGCTCTCATTGCGTTTTTGTTCTTTTGAGACAGGGTCTTACTATGTAGTTCAGGCTGGTCTTGAACTTATAGCAATCTTCCTGTCTTAGCCTCCTGAGTGCTGGGATTAAAGGAGTGTTCCACCATGCCCTGCTAGAAACTCTCATTGGGGTCAGTTAGGCAAAGCTAGTTGGAAGACATGAGTATCTGGGCAGGTTTTAAAGGAAACAGACATGACTGGCAGAGATGTGGGATTGTACAAGGACAAAAGTCCACAGGGTTGTAAGACCTAAGAAATGCACAGGAAGAAGAATGGCCATGGCAAAGGGGCCATGGGTTGGGATAGCTGGAGGTATCAGAACTAGGGGAGGGGAGGGATGCTGGAGGCCTGGGGTGGGAAAATTGGAATGGACATGGGGGGAGCATTAGGTTCTTTATTATGCACCTAAGTTTGGGTGTTTGAGTTTAGTTGAGGTTGCTTTGATGGCTGGAAGGTGGGTTTTCTTCATTCCTTCAACTAATATGTATTAGTGCTACTCTATACCAGGTGTTGTTTGAGGTGTTGGGGAGACAGCAGAAACAAAATATGGGCCCTAGCCTTGTGGAGCTGGCATTCTAATGAGGGAGAGAGATAATAAGCATATACATAGAATGTTCTGTGGGAATGTAAAATGGTACAGACTCTCTGGAAAAGACTTCAGCATTTTCTTTAATAAACTAAACATACCCTGACTCTTTGACTCAGCAATCATACCCTCAAGCATTTATCTCAGTGAAATGAAAACTTATGCTCACAGAAACCTGTACACGAATGTTTATAGCAGCTTTATTTATAATAGCCCCAAACTAGAAAAAAAAAAACCCAAGTGTATTTCAATGGGTGGATAACTGTACAGAATGAGATATGTCCACAACATAGAATACTAGTCTTGAAATAAAAAGAACAAAATATTGATATATACAACTTGGATGAATCTCAAAAGCATTATGCTGAGTGAAAAAAACCAATCTCGAAACATGATATTTCATTTGCATAATATTCTTGAAATGATAATTGCACAAATGGAGAATAGATTAGTGGTTAACAAAAATTTGGGGTGGGAGTGGAGAAAATGGGTGTGGCTATAAAAGGACAATATAAGGGATCTTTTTGGTGATAAACTTTTCCAATTTGTAATAGCTAAATCTTGGAAACAGCCCAAATGCTCATCAACCGGATAAATGGATAAAGAAGATGTGTTTTTTTTTTTAAACAGTGGAATACTACTCTGCCATTAGGAAGGATAAACTAAAGACATTTCTGGGTAAATGGATGCACATTGAGACCATACTCTTAAGTGAAATAAATTGGACACACACATTCAAATATCACATTGTTTCTCTGGTATGAGAAACTGAAATGTAAATAAGGACCAAAATGTATAATAGTTACTGGGAAATAGGATGAGAATGTTCATGTGGGAAGGGGAACAAGGGAAGGGGGAGGGAGAAAGGAGGGAAGGAAAAAGATAAAAAAGAATGGAAGGAAAAAAGTGAAAACAAAGCTTTTGTAAATCAGGAGGGGAAGAGGGGTTGAAGGGAGGGGAGGGAAAGGGGAAAAAAGAAGACTCAAGATACAGCATGTACAGGTACAAATTCCATATGATGAATGTGATCAGTATGTATATCCAAAGTGTATCAATAATATTAATTTAAAAAGTGCCGGGTATTTAGCTCAGTGGCGTTGCACCTGCCTTGAAAGCACAAGGTCTTGAATTCAATCCCCAGTACTGAAAAAAAATGATGCTAAAATTAATTTTTAAAAATTGAGTTGAGTGGGGCTGGGAATTTAGCTCAGTGGTTCTGCCGCCTGCCTCACAAGCTCAAGGTCCCAAGTTCGATCCCCAGTACCAAAAAAAATTGAGTTGAGTAAAATGACAGAGAAAAACCTTTTCCAGTATCTTGTGTTGGTAGATGCATAAACTCACATGTGGTAAATTCATATTGAACTATGCACACACATTATATCAATGTTGATTCCCTGAGTTTGATATTGTACTATAGTTATGGAAGATGTAACCATTGGGAACAGCAGGGTAAAGGGGACACAGTGTATCTCTGTATTAGCTTTGCAACTTCCTGCAATTATTTTGAAAGAAAAAGTTAAAAATGTAGTATTTTGGTTTTGATGAAAAATTAAGCAATATCAGGAGACAATGACAGGCAGATATTACCTTCTTTGCAGTACTCGGGACTGAACTCAGGGTCTTCACATTGAGTTATATCCCCAGTTCTTTTTTATTTTTTGTTTTGAGACAGGGTCTTGCCAAGTTGCTAAATTTCTCAGGCTGGGTTCGAACTTGTGATCTTACTGCATCAGCCTCCTAGAGGGCTGGTTTTACAGGTGTGACCTATCTCCCCTGGCTCATGTAGATAACAACTTAGAAAGGGTAGTCTAGCTAAACTTAAAACACAATATGTCCTCTGATCAGAGCAATAAATAGTAAACATATAAAAGCATGTTTTTGGAGAGAACTAGTGGCCATTTTTCAAGAAAGGAGACTGCCCAGTGTCACAAGGCAACTGCACATATGAAGTAAGGTGAGGAAGGGACTCTACTCATACACCCGTGCAGGGCCTGGGCTTGTCTGCTCAGAGCTACAACTAAGCAAGGCCTATCTGCCTGGGGGTGTTGTTTGTGTGAGTGTATATGTTTAAGTTCTATGGTATATGTGGGAGAATATGCATGTGCTAGCATATGTATGTGCAAGTGTGTGTGTGGGTATATGTGTGAGTGTTCGTGGTGTTCATGGGTATATTGTGTATGTGTATAAATCTTATATATGAGAATATTGTGTGGATATATGTAATAGTGTATGCGTGTGAGTGTGTGTAAAGTTCACATGGACTTAGATGAGTGCTGAGGGCCATGGCATGAGGCATTTAGTGCTGGGCTTGATCTGAACCCCATCTTCCTGACTTGTAGGCCCGTGATCCGTGCCTGTGCGCCATCCTGACTTTGGATAGACATTGTCTCTCTCAAAAGGACAAAGTTTTTCCTTCTCTTTAAGTCTGGGGGATCCTACCCCTTCCTTAAAGTCTAGCTCAGGTGTAGCCTCCTCCAGGAATGAGGCATCAGTGTCGGGTAAAAGGAAGAGTTGTGGGCACTCAGAAGGAACAGTTTGGCTGCAGGTATAGTGAGGGCTGTGAGTTTTGCACATGATTTGTGTCTAGGTTTGTACATTCAAGTTAAGATGGCTGTAAGGGGCCGGGGATTTAGCTCAGTGGTTCCGGCACCTGCCTCGCAAGCGCAAGGTCCCAAGTTCGACCCCTGGTACCAAAAAAATCCCCCAAAAAACTTCCCATAAAAAATGAGAAATTAGAGACATTTATAGCTAAGTGGATGCACATTGAGGTGATACTCTTAAGTGAAATAAATAGGACACACATGTATAA